CTGTTTTAGATGAAGAGCTATAATGAAAGACTGAGGCAGTTGGATTAGTTTGGAATTAATAGGAGGCTATGAAGAATGAGTAGGTAATGGAACTATATTGGGATTATTACAGATTGTAGGTGAGAATTGAGTTGTGGGATTAATTTGGGATTGATACAGGTCAAAGAGAGAGAAAGGGATCAGTTTGGGACTGATATTGAGCTGTAGAAAGTAAGTGGGCTTGGAGGTTTTACTTGGGTTCCATACTGAGTTTTAGGAAGTGAGTGCAGCATTCAAATTAGTTTTTCCAGTGTTATAGGGAAAGAGCAGGTGAATCGAATTAGTTTGAGACTGATACAAGGCTATGGGGAGAAAGTGGAGTGGAATTAGTTGGAATTGATACAGAACTATAGGAGGAGTGCTGGGTAGTGACTTTGGATTGGGACTGATAGAAAGGTCTGGGGCAGAGTGTAGATCAGTGGTACTATTTTGGGATGGATATGGGGCTATGGAGAGAGCATGTGACAGGGAGTTTGGGATAGAGTCAGGGCTACCTGAGAGTGTAAGGCAGGGAGTTTGAGGTACGGTTACAGGGAGACAGGTAACAGGATTAATTTGGATGGATACAGGGCTATGGGGAGAACATGTGGTAAAGTTTGGGATTGACATAGAACTACAGGGAGAGAGCATACATTGGAATATGTTTGGGATTGTTTTAATGAGCTGACACAGATGCATTGGGCTAAGTGGTCTTGTTCTATGCTGTGAATTTCCCTAACACTGTGTGGTTTGAAAGTCTAAGCTTTTTGATTCCCAATGAAACAAAGAGTGGAGATACCCAATCCTATTAAATAGCCTGCTTTGTTCATTAGGAGTTCTGTTTTGTTTTCAGAAATGTAAACTTAAAAAAAGCTTGAAATGTGAAGATAGAGAGTTAACCCCAAACTCTATGTGGACAACAACAGTTTGAACTTATATTGCCTTGGACACAGTAAAATATCTAAAGGTACTTTGCAGCAGGCTTAGCAGACAAATATTTGAGAATGAGTCGCATGAGGAATTATTTAGGAAGATGACTAAAAGCTAACCAAAAAGGTAATTTTCAAAGATTGTATTAAGGACAGGGAAGTGGAGAGATGCAGAGGTTTAGGGAGAGAATTCCAAAGCCTTGGTCTGAGACTGAAGGCACAGCCACCATTGGTAGACTGATGGAAACTGGGGATGTGTGCGAGACCAGATTTAGAGGAAGGGAGAGCACATGGAGAGTTGTAGAGCTGAAGGAGATAACAGACAGACCATAATCATTCTTTGCCGTCTGATGACTGACTCACCCAGCCACTGTCTATTTGTCAGTAAAAATGCTCTGTGAATATTCTTGCAAATAATTTCATTGATCATTAAATGCAAGTAAGAAATATAATTTTTTGTAAAATATTGTAAAATGAGACTCTGTATTGTACCAGTGTGTACAGTTAATGCTGTCCCTGTCACTCAAACATTGGCATGCTGCTAACTGCTCTGGGTGTAGATTGGAGTGAAAGAGAAACAAGGAGACTGAGTGGTGGCCCAGCACTGAATTGCCTTCCTTTCAAATCTGTGTTTTCCTTTTCCTCTGATTTGAACTCTGGTAAGGGCCTTATACCATGTTTTTGCCTCTCATGGCCAGTTGAGTTCTGTAGTCTCTCCTTTGTTGCTTTATTGAGACCATGCTTTCTATTACAAATAAAAATTTGTACGCTGCATGTGTGATAAAAATTTCCTGCAGTCAAACACTTCAAAAAAAATGAGCTCATGAAGAGTCCTGGGCCCCACCAGGGATGGGGTCTGGGGGAAATCTGACCCCTGTCCTGCCCCCAACATGGGGGAGACCTGTTACCACATCTGCACTAACATACTTTCACTCCGGAGATGGGGGTCTCAGGAAGTCCTGACCAACCCTAGAGATGGTTTCTGGGGAGTCCAGCACTCCTCCTTCCCACTCCACTGCTAATTTCTCAAAATGGGATTCCTGGGCATCCTTGTCTCCTTATACCCCCCATCTTCCCCACCCAGAAATGGTGAAATGATGTACTGGGCAGTCCTGGGCCCTCAGCAATGTCTGCCTGCGATACTTCCCTGTTGTCAAATAATATTCTTTGTTCATTTATTGCTGGGGCTGTAATCGGTGGAATGTATTTTGCTTATCAATGGTTTACTATTAAATATTTATTTCAAAGTGATACATTTTGAAAATGTTCATGTATTTTTTGATAAATTGTCAAGAAAAACAATTAAGCCACTCATTAGCCCTATCCTTTATAGTAACAAGAAATGAATTCGAAATTCACCCTCTAATGCACATCAGTGATGACAGGACAATCACAAAGATAATATCAAGATATTTCACCCTGATGTCAGGAAATTCACTCCAACAATATCAGGGGATTTAGCCTGCTACCAACAATATCATCACTCTGGAAGTCCAATGCAGGGGAGAAAAAGAAAGCAGTATGAGTGAGAATGAGAGATCAGAGCCTCATTTGGATATTAGTCTAAGTAAAAAGAATTAGCTGGCTTGGAAACGTAGCATTTAGTTGGGTCTGTCACTGGATATGTGGTTTAGGCACTGATAAGGAGCCAGAGGGGCAATGGTGATGACTGGATATCTCAACATTGGTCTATGAGGAATGTCACACACAGCTCACACAACTAATTCAGAGGCTGACTGACCAGTGAGGCACCTTTAAGATATGGAGAAAAACAGATTTAATTACTTTCATGCAGCGTCCCTGAAGCTTTCAATAGTGAGTTGCTACATTGCTGAGTGATGATGCCTGGCCCCTGGCAATGATGCCTCGTGCTATATTCGATCAATGAGAACATGTGTACAGCTATTCCTGGGAGGGGGCAGGAATAAATATATAAAAATGAACTTCTGTCATTCTAACACTGACCCTAGGATACTCAGAAATAGCAGCTGAGCTCAGTAAGGCTGGGACTGCTCTCCGGTAACTCCTACTCACTTTCTGTTTCTGGAATCCAATTGTTTTTAGGGGTGGGAGGATAGGGGCACCAATGGAATTGGGGGGTACATGGTGGTTGATGTGAAAGACAAAAATGTATTAATGCATTGAATGCAGTTGGGAAAGGAGAGGGGTGGTGTGATATTTACCCATCCTCTAGAGAGTTGACACATTGAATACACTGACAGGGATTCCACCCACCCCCTTCATTGCTTACACTGGGAAGGATGCAGGTTAACCCAGACTGGTGAGTTCACAGAATTGTAACAGGACAGGAGTGATGTGCCCGCACTGACTTTCTGAACAATGCACCGAGTGCCATTTCCTGCATTTTTGTGATAACCCTGCACATGTTCTCTTTTCAAGTAAAAACCCAACATGCTATTATTGAGTGCCTCAATCCACCACATTCTCAGGCAGCGCATGCCAGATCTTCTCCCCATGTTTCCATTGATTATTTTGCCAATTACCTTAAATTATATCTTTCAGTCTTGATTGTTCAACCAGTAGAAACACCTTTTCCTACCGGTTTACTCCATGTAAACCCCTCAGGATTTTGAATACTTCGATCGAGTTTCTTCTCAACCTTCAAGGTGAACAATCCCAACTTCTCCAATGTATCTATGTAGCTGAAATTCCTCATCTCTGGAACCATTCATAAGCATCTTTTTGCACTCTTTTTAAAGCCTTCACAAATTTTCTAAAGTGTGGTGCCCAGAATGGAATTGAACAGTACTCAAGTTGAAGCTGAAACAATGTTTAATGCAGGTTTAAGATAACCTTGCTGTTGTACTCTACACCAGTACTAATCAAGCCTAGGATACTGTATACTTTGTTAATTGATCTCAACGTGGTCTGCCACTTTTGATTACTTATACCCCTAATTCCTTCCATTCTTGCATCCCCTTTGGAGTAGTACCCTTTTATTTTGCATTCTTCCAAAATGAATCTCCTCACTCTTCTCCACATTGAAATTTCAGCTGCTACATATCTGCTCACTTCACCAACTTATCTACGTTCTTTGCAGTTTCTCATTGTCCTCCTCACAATTTAGAAAACTTGGAATGAATCTATCAACCACAAGTTTCAAAACTCTGTTCTGTACCACATAATGAATAGAGATCAGGAAAAGCAAGGCTCTCAACACTGACTCACTATAAACCCCTCTGTGAAAAAACTTCATTAAACACTAAATTAAAAGTATTGCAGATGCTGGATATCCGAAATAAAAACAGAAAGTACTAGAGAAGCTCAGCAGATCTCCTAGAATCTGTGGAGAGAAAAGCAGAGTGAATGTTTTGACTCCGCTGAGTTCTAAGTCAATGGATTCAAAATGTGAACTGTGTTTCTTTCTCCGTGGACGCTGCCGGACCTGCTGAGTTCCTCCGGTATTTTCTGATTTTATTCCATTAGCCACTACTCTCTGTATTCTATCACTCGGCCAACTTCCTATCCAACTTGCTACTGTGCCTTTTAAATCTGAGGTCTAACTTTGCTCACAAGTCTCTCGGGCAGCACGGTATCAAATGCCTTTTGGAAGTCCATGTTATTAACGCCAACAGCATTACCCCTTGGTGTTATCCCTCCGGGGGTTTGGGGCGGGGGGAGGGGTGGGGAAGCCAGCAAGTTAGTTAAACATGATTTGCTCCAGTTAGCTCATTGAATGGTGGTGAGAGGAGACAGGTTAAACCCCGGGTGGAGTTAAACTCAGGTCGAGAGAATTAACCCATTGAATGGAGGAGGCAGATTGCACCCAGAGTGGGGTTAAACTCAGGCTATGGTATTAACCCATTGAGTGGAGAGGGTAGGTTAGGTTAACCCATTGCTGCCCTCGATGCTTTGAGGTGCTAACGGAAGACTGCAGGGAGCGGCTATGATTAGCAGCGTGGCCTGGCTCTGGAGTTTATATGGCCATGGCCTCGGGATTCCTGGCGAGCCTGCTCTCTGACGTGGGCCCGGAGCAGCCGTCACTCATTAAAAAGTGCGGCGGGGCCACCAGCGCGGCCATTCGGCGGCTGGTAGCCGGGCGGAGAGGGAGGGAGGGAGAGAGAGAGAGAGAGAGGACCGGAGCCGGGAGTGAGCAGCAGCAGCGGGAGTTACCGCGGCGAGAACCGCTCTGTAAAGTCCGGAGAAGAAGTTTCCCGGAGGCGGACAATGGAGCAGCAAGAGGCGGCGGCCAATGGCCAGGAGGACGGGGAGATGCCGGCTACTGAGAAGGACCTGGCGGAGGACGCTCCTTGGAAGAAGATCCAGCAGAACACGTTCACCCGCTGGTGTAACGAGCACCTCAAGTGTATGAACAAGAGGATCGGGGACCTGCAGAAGGACCTGAGCGATGGCCTGAAACTGATCGGATTGTTAGAGGTACTCAGCCAGAAGAAGATGTACCGAAAGTACCACTCGCGGCCCAACTTTCGCCAGATGAAGCTGGAGAATGTGTCTGTGGCGCTGGAGTTCCTCGACAGAGAGAGGATTAAACTGGTCTCCATCGGTAAGAACAACAACCCCTTTTTCCCCCCCCATTTCTCCTCCCGCCCGTCCCTGCTTCTCCTCCCCCGGGGAAGGGCAGTCCCGGGTAGTTGGGTGGGGGGTAATTCCAGTCCCGGTCTCCTTTTTCACAGTCTCTTTCCCCGCCACTGGCCCGGCTCCTCACTGAGATTCACCGCAAATGAGTTTTAAACCCATGGGTTAGTTTTCCTTTTCTTCAAAAAATAAATATATTATTGTAAAGACGTTTAAAAATCACGTTTTTTTTTGCCAAGAGCGAAAATAAGCCGTGCGTTACAGCTCGCCAGCCTCTGTAAGGAGAGGACGCAGAATTGCCGCGGTTGTTGCTGAACTTCTCCGAAGTGAAGGGGAGTTTGTTGAAGAGCGGATAGTTGTTATTTCTCAGTCACTGAGGCTAGTGGAAGCGTGTTCAATTATTTAAAGTTCCGCAGGAAAGCGAATGGTTTGAGTGGAAAAATTAGGTGCCTCACAGGGAAACACCAAGAAAGTGTGATTATGTGGATAGCTTTTCGTAAAGAGCTGATACGGTCACGATGGGCCAAATAGCCGTCTGCGCTACGATTCTATGAATATTACGCTGACTTGAAGTCTAATTTTCTATTTATACAGAATCTTATCACGTATCTCAATATGGCCCAGCAGTGCTGGAGCTGCAATTAATTACTCGGCAGTGACTTATAGGTGAAGGGAACAGCTATTAAACCCACAGCAAGATTCCCACAAATGGCAATGAGATGATTCTCTTCAACACCGAGTCAGAAAGTGCGTGTTTGAGTCCTACTGCAGAGGCCTGAGCCCATAACTCCAGACTGACCCTCTTGGGAGTGTGCTGCTGTATGCTGCACTGCCCTGGTGTGGGTGTTGTCTTTCAGATGAGACCCTATCTATGCACTTGGATGGATGTAAAAGTTCTTGTGGCACTATGTATGGGAAGAAGAGCATAGCCTGACCAATATTTATTAATAAGGCAGAGTCTGGTTACTGCTGTTTGTGGAATCTTGCAGTGTAAATTGCTGCAGTATTTCTGAATCTGTGAGACTATACAGCAGAAGGAATTAATTAATACGAAGTGAAGATGTGAGGACAGTGATTAGAAATGCAAATCTTTCAGTATTTCTAACATTGGTAGAGGGAAGAATGTTAACCATGACGACTGGAAGAGTTCCTTAACCTTCACTCATTGGGTTTTCTGCACCCAAGCTGACCTATGGGCCCCTGGCTAACATTTCAGTTGAAGGACCAGTACAGCTCAGTACAATACTATCATCTGAGATCATTGGTTTAAGTGTATGAGTGACAGGGTGTGAGTGTCCTGCAGTTGTTACTGGTAACAGGTGCAGAAGTAGAGATTTGTAGAAATTGGCACAGCCTCTAAGTGATCACAGTGGCTTCTGTTAGTGAGACGGGGGAAGAAGTTCCTAATTTCTGGCATTGATTGGAGGCTGAAACAGATTAGGACAGCAGGGCTGAGAACAGTTGACCGAGTGGAATGTCTGATTTCCACATCCCCTTAATCACCAAGATGCCCACTTCCACCCTTGTCAGATTGCCGGTCTCCACCTCAGCTCATCTGCTGCTGGAACCCTCATTCATGACAGTGTTACCTCTAGACTCAAAGTATTTCCATGATCTCCTGGCCAGCCTTCCATCTTCCACTTTCCATACACTGCAGCTTGTCTGAAACTCTGCCTGTGTCCTAACTCGCTCTTGCTGCTGCCACTCTTTCCCCCACCCCCCCAAAAAAAAACAAAATCCCTGTCCCTGTGCTTGCTGACCTCCACTGGCCACTCATCCCACCAAAGTTCTCATCCTTGTAATCAATTCTTCCATGGTCTCCTGCCCTTCTCCTACAAGCTATCAGAAATCTTTGTACTATTTTAATCCTATAACCATTGGGGAACATGCCTTGAACTATACAGACCCTGGCTTCTGGAATGCTAGCCCTATCTCTTAAGTTACTGCTTCAGACTTTTGGTTACATGGGCTGAATATTTCCACTCTCAGCTCCCCGTTGATTTTTGTGGTAACTTCTCTTGTAAAGTGTCTTATGTTAAATGTGCTGTACAAGAGTAAGTTTGTGCAACAGTGAAAATGGCTGCCTGTCTGCTTAATTTGTAACAGTGAAAATGTCAGAATGGTAGTGGTGGGGGCTGTTTCTTGCTGCTTGCTGTGAGAGCTCAGAATTAAGCAGGCAGTGTTTTAATTTAGTCAGTGCACCAGATTGTTGGACAAAGTCAGTAACTTCATTGTAGACGAGGTGGAAATTGCCAGGCAGGTCAAGCTCTATCAGAAAGCTACAGTTCAAGTTTCACTGTATACCCCACAGGACACTGAGAAAAGTGTTCAGTGAACATGATGTCTAAATCCAGCTGCCTTGATAGATGGATGAGTCTTGTATTTATTTTGTACATTGCCAAGTCCCTGAAGTCAGACTTGAACTCGCAACTACTTAATTTACAAAGTGAGAGTTACTACCACAAAAGGAGAGGGACCCATGCTTAAGCCTCTGGTTGAATCAAGTGGCTCATTTTAACCTTGATTTAGGTGTCCCAAATTGCCTTGGTGTCCCTGAATGGCAATGGGCCTTTCAGCTCTTTGAGTCTGTTCCATCATTCCAGTAAAATGTATCAACCTCTGTCTTAAAATATAATTGATCCAGCACGATGAGTGAATTGGTTCTGTTTCCGCACCACCTCCCTCCGCACCCCCCCACACCCCCACAATTTTGAGTCAGAGAATCATTCTCTCTAGTAGCATCCAGGCTATCCTGACCCTGAGGTGATTGGTTACCCAACCACGGTTCTGTGCTTTACCCTTCCAGAATATTCCCCACACATTTGCAAAGTCACGCTGGTCCCAAGCTGCTATCCATCCCCCTCCTCCATGAACTGAGCTCAGGAGCTATATACAGCTACCCATGCAGCTGGCTGGAATGTGTCAGTGATAACCTTGGAGTCTGACAGCTTGCGATGTCGCACTGCTCTCTTCCTGTCCCAGTGCTCATTTGTCTGACTGCTGGATCCAAACCACACTGTGCTGTCAAATACCCAAATCTCCCCAGGGTGTGACTGGTTCACTGCAGCAGTTTGAGTATAGAGTGGGAAACTTCGATAACTACTAGACTGAATCTACACTGGTACATTAGAGTTTTTTGCAGATAACTTGTCCCTCCTACATGCCAACTACATTGGGAAGAGAAAAAGTTTTCCCAGGAAACCCCTACTACCTCACTCCCCTCTTTCAAACCATGCCCCTCTGCCCCCACCATCAAAATGGCAGCACAGTGGCTCAGTGGTTAGCACTGCTGCTTCACAGTGAGAGGGAACAGAGTTCGATTCCACCCTCTGGTGACCGTGTGGAGTTTGCACTTTCTCCCTATGTCTGTCTGCATGGAATTCTTCCCTCAGCCCAAAGAAGTGCAGGTTAAGTGGATTGGCCATGCTAAATTGCCCAGTGTCCAGGGATGTGCAGTTTAGGTGGGTTAGCCATAGAAAATGTCAGGTTACAGGGACACGGTGGTGGGGTGGGTCTGGGTAGGATGCTGTTTAGAGGGTCGGTGTGGACTCGATGAGCCGAATGGCCTGCTTCCACACTGTCAGAATTCAATAATTCTATGATTCCAACATGCATCCTTTGAGAGAGAGATTAAGTCTCTTGCAAACCTTCCCACTCTGAAGTAGCAGAGAGAGGAGGTCCCAACACAGGAACTGAGGAGCTTTAATCCCATGTGATGCCAAATGACTCAGTTCCCTAAGCATAGCTATGGGTGAGAGCCTGACAGTGTATCTACTGTGGATCTGAAGCTGCTTTATAAATAGTTTTGCTTCCCTTTTAATCTAAAGTAAGATATACTGACATTGGGGATGGTTCAGAGAAGGTTGTCTAAGTTGATTCCAGGTATGAAAGGATTTTCTTATGATGAGTTGAGTAAATTGAATCTATACTCCTGGAGCTTAGAAGAATGAGATGAGACCTTTTAAGACTTGTGTAGATGTGGCAAGGTCATTTTCCCTTGTGGGAGTCCAAGACCAGAGGGCCTAATCCTTTTTTCCTTTATTTATTTATGGGATGAGGGTGTTGCTGGCTAGGCAGCATTTACTGCCCATCCCTAATTGCCCAGAGGGCAGTTCAGAGTCAATCACATTGCTGTGGGTCTGGATCACATGTAGGCCAAACCAAGTAGGAATGGCAGCTTCCTTCCCTAAAGGACATTTAGTGAACCAGATGGGTTTTTCCAACAATCGACAGTGGATTCACAGTCATCATTAGATTCTTAATTCCAGATATTTATTGAATTTGAATTCTATCATCTGCCATGGTGGGATTCAAACTCGGGTCCCCACAACATTATCTGGGTCTCTGGATTAACAGTCCAGCGATAATGCCACTAGGCCATTGCCTTCCACTTAAGACATATTAAGAAGAATGTCTTGTAAGTAGTCAAATCTGTGGAATTGTTTACTGCGGAGGGCTGTTGAGGCTTGGTCACCTAAGTATTTTCAAGGCTGGCGTGGATTTTAAATTAGCCAGGGAAATGAGGGTTATGGGGAAAATGCAGGGAAGTGCAGTTATGTTCAGCTTGGCCATGATCACGTTGAATGGTGGAACAGACTTAATGGGCCAAGTGGCCTACTTAATGGGCGGCATGGTGGCTCAGTGGTTAGCACTTGGTCCCTGGGTTTGATTCCACCCTTGGCCAACTATCTGTGTGGAGTTTGCATATTCTCCGTGTTTGTGTGGGTTTCCTCCAAATGTTCTATTTCCTCCCACAGTCAAAAGATGTGCAGGTTAGCTGGAGTGGCCATGCTAAATTGCCCATAGTGTCCAGGGATGTGCAGGCTTGGTTGATCAGCCATTGGAGATGCGCAGTTACAGGGATCTGGTGGGTCTGGTTGGGATGCTCTTTAGAGAATCAGTGAGGACTCGACAGGCTGAATGGCCTACTTTCGTACTGTTGGGATTCTGTGTCTCTGCTCCTACGTC